CAGGTGTAAGAAAATCTGGTCTGCAGTAATATATGCAGAAGTTGGTAAGTCTAACCTATGTAGAGTCAACCAAGCCAATCAAATATAAAATATTCACCTTTCAGGAATTCTGCATAAATCAAATTATTCCTTCCATCCTTCATTCATGGTTTGCAGGCCTAGGTACTGTTGGGAATGCAAAGGTGAATAAAAAATAGTCCTTTCTTTCAAAAAGCAGATAGTCTGATTGGGAGACAGATAAGATACATAATTAACTATAACATTAGACGCAAAGTAACTATAATACCATGTAGAAAGTAAAACAGTAAGAAAGACCACATGGGACAAAGGGAACTGGAAGGAAGGAGATACTTTTCCAAGTAGGTAAATGTAAGAGTTCATACAGGGATTGGCAATAGTTTTGGATTTTGGAGGACTGGAGAAGAACCAGAGGCTGCTCCAGACAAGAATGCAGATACAAAGGTCTGCAGAGGAGCATGCAGTGAACACTCATCAGGAACATGGAGCAGCTCAGTAGGAGCACAGTACAGAGTGGAAGAAACTGAGGCTATTATATTAATAGAAAGCCAACTAGTGTCAGATTACAGACAGCCCGGACTGTAGGCCAAGAAATTTATAGTAAACAGAAAAGATTAGTTGAGAAAGGCCTAGGGGACACATAAGCAATTCACCACATGTTGCACAGATATATTGATTATGCAAATACACTAGTCATTAACATTACTTAGGTATAAAGGGGTAAATATAGGGTAGCTAAAATCAGGGAAAAAATTGTGATCTGTGTTTTAATGATTGAGGGCATTAAGTGGATTTCACACGGTACCATAAAACCCTGAATAAAGTGTAAGTAAAACTAGATTCTGTGTGCATGATAATGACACGATTGCCCTTGTTATAAATAGAAGGTGGAAGAGAAATTTTAAGTTAAAAATTGAGAAAAGGGCAAATTGAGAATGAGGAGGTCCTGAAATACAGAGAAACTGATTTTATAACATTACAGTTTTTAAGTTATTTCCTAGGTTTACCGAAAAATAACAATTATCCAGCTCATATGACAATTACAACTGAGCAATCAAATCAAACAATGGAAATAAAAGTTTCATCATCTGGCCAGCAGGTGGCACTTGCCACTCAGTATAGAAAGTAGCAGGTAATGAATGAAGCTGAAAGTGGAGTTAGAAACCGATTACTCATTCATCTATTCAGAAGGATAAAGATGGGGATGGGTTGTATTCAGAAGCACAATTTATAACGAGGATCTTAGCTTGTTGACATAGCTTATCAATTACATGGAGGACAACCCCTTTACTCTATAACATGCACCACAGGTGACAGATCTTGAATTTGAGCTCCCATTTAGTTTACTGAACTTAGGTATTTCCCTTAACAAATATAATTTGCAATATATAAGTTTGCTGCTACTGTAAATGTTCTTATGTCCTTTTTGTCTGTATTTTTCCTATGAGACTGTGGGGAAAATGGTGCTGGAATTAGGCAAAAAGGAAATAAATTCCAACTTCACCATTTAAAGCTATGTGATTTAAAATTATTTAACTTTTTTGGATTTCACTTTTCTCTTTGTTAAAGTAGATATCGCTAGCTGGGATGTTGTAGGAATTAAATAAGCCACCAGGTGGAAACAATACCTTTAGACTTAGCTACTTCATTTTCTCCTACGGGACAACATCTAATGGTTAGGATACCTCTCTTATCATGGAATCATTAGATAACCACAGAACCTCAACTCCAGAAAGATCTCTGATTTACCTAGTCAGCCCTTCATTTTCCAGATCAAGATGGCTGCTACCATTAAAGCTGAAATGGAAGAGAGTTAAGAGACAGGGTGTACAGGTTTAGGTCACTTTTACGTTCACTACCCAGGTCTGCTCAATGGCTAAGTGGTCACTGGGAGTGGGAGGGAGGAAGAGAAAACAGGAGGTGGGCAAATAATCATTACACGGCATATATTGCATGATTTTGCGATACTGCGAGAATAGGCGAACAGACACCAACAGCAGACACACAGTGAATCGTGGTAATAAACTAGCCAGTTCTTGATTTTCCAGTGGTGTCTAGCCTACACCAGAAGAGTGTCTACACTGAACCTGAATAGAGCCAGTGATGCTCTGCTTTTCTGCTTTCCCATCCTTGCTCATATCACATTCCAAAACTTCTAACAGGTTTTAGAAGACAGGAGAATAAGAAATTTATACTGAACACTGGGTCTTATTTTTGGCATCAGATAAGTATCACCAAAACATAGTTTTGAACACTTTTATGGATTATTTTCGTGAAAGGGGGAATCGAGGTCATCTTTCAGAGGTCTTCTATTCAGTAATTACCATATAATAATTATATGGGAGCTGCATCATTATAACAAGTCACACAATTTTTAAAAGACAGATACCACACAAATACTGAGTTTAATTTTTAAAATTTGTAAGCTTAGCATGTAATTTAAGTGACTGGTTCCATGAAGGAACAAATTAGTGCTCATCTCCAAGTAATCCTTTAGGTTGTTTTTCTTACCTGAAATGCCTTATCCTTTTCGCTCTGTTTATCCTAAATAGACTGCAAGACACAAATGTCAGTTCCCCTATACAATTTTATTTGATTTTTTTTTTTTTTTCTGAGACAGAGTTGCACTCTTTCCCCCAGGCTGGAGTGCAGTCGCACGGGCTCACTGCAACCTCCACCTCCCAAGTTCAAAGGATTATCTCACCTCAGCCTCCCAAGTAGCTGGGATTACAGGAGTGAGCCACCATGCCCAGCTACTTTTTTTTTTTTTTTTTAATTTGTTAGAGACGATGTTTCACAATGTTTGCCAGGCTGGTCTCAAACTCCTGACCTCGAGTGATCTGCCCGCCTCAGCCTCCCAAAGTGCTGGGATTACAGGTGTGAGCCACTGCCCCCGACCTTTTATAACTTCCTTTGATTGAAGCCGCCCTCACTGTCTTCTGTAGCAAACTTCTATTGCCGTGTCAGTTACAGTCAGAAAACACATTTGAATTAATAGTACTTTATGGTGGTCGCTCATTTTTAAACTGCTGTCAGACCTGGTCCACAAAAAGACTGTATAATATCTGAGGGCATGTTTTATTTGTTGATACAACTACCTATTAAGTACCCAGTATATGCCAGGCACTATTTTGGTTAATACAGATTCACAGTAAGCAAAACCACAACTCTCCCTGCTCTCATGGAACTTGCATTTTGTTTACAGACACTCTGTATTCCCCATAATACTCCACCTGGGACAGACCTGAGGGTAAATACGTGCTCAACAATCCCCTCAAAATTAACTGATCACCCTTGGTTGAGTGAAACTCAACCCAAAGCCTTCCTTGATTACCACAAAAGCAGGGTCAGGTAGAGGCCCGAGAACTACAAAGTATGTAAAACACATTAGAAATCTTTTTAAAAAAACAAAGGATTTTGTAAAATTTTCCTTTTGCAAGGGAAAAAAAGGATGAAGAGGATTCTTACGTCCTTTGAAGTACTGGCAGTGAATTTCTATGTAAGTTTCTTCGTTTACATTTGAAATAAACTAAATCTATAACCTTGGCTTAAATCTTATTAAAAAAATCAACTACCAAGAAAAAAGAATAAGCAAAACTGTTGGCCCAAATCTGCTATTCCATCAGCTGCCATCATATTCTCTGCCTCAGTGATGAATTCAACACCCAGTACTAAACAAACAAGCTAGTTCAGTCTCGGCGATCGGCATTATTACCATACAGGGGTTGGCCATGATCACTACAGAAAAGATAAACAATGTCCAGAAATGCAAATAAAGATGCAATCAATTCAGAACATGCAGAATGCCTTCGCAAAGCTGCAAAGTGTGGTAAACAGAATAAGAAACAAAATTGAAATATTTCATAACAAAAAGATCTGAATGTACTTACTTATTTATCAAAAGTTTGTGAAACCTTTGTTGCTGACTTATGTTATCAAACCCTTAAAAACTGTAGAAAGCTGAACCACCTTTTCTTTTTTTTTAAGATGGGGTTTCAGCATGATGGCCAGGCTGGGGAGTGCTTAGGAGAATGTGTTTCCAAAGTGACTCAATATCTTTCCCAAAGAGACCCTAAGACTGCAGGGTAGAAAGGAAGGCTCGGGGTTGTTTTGGTTGTAATCTCAGGTGGTATCTGACTTGCACTACAGAACCCTAGCAAGCTAAGTGAGGTAAAAGAGTAACCCTCCATGAGCCCAGGAAAACACTTACTATAAGCTGCCACGGCTGGTTACGCTCCCACTTCATCATTGAATTTTCTGTTTTAACAAGCATTTTATTTCCTGACATCTATAGAAGTGTCCACACATTTAGACATATGCAACAAGTGCTGTTTGAGAAAGCTGACAGGCACACAATTAAAAATGATGAATTTATGTGCTAAATCTATAGAGATTTAATTATCAGTCAAGAAAATAAAATAATTTTTCTACATGCCACTCTTTCTTACACTCGAAACTGTCATGGTTACCTATGTTGACTGATGGTAATGTTTTATTTATTGACTTTTCTTAACAATTAAATGTGACTTTGACTTTCTAAATTAATAGGTTAATGCTTTTTAAAAGAAGTCTTTACCTTAAAACCCTCCCTCAGGGAAGAAGTGTAATGGAACAGAAACAGCCTGTCCTTTGGAGTTATACAAACTTGTGTTACGCTTTGACCACGTGACCTTGGACATGCTGGCTGACTTGGGCTCTATGTGCAGCTGTGGAGTGGGAAGGAAATCTATGTCTCTATTTCTCACGTGCATTGTTGTGTAGATGGGCTTAGATATCATTATACGGTATTTTTTTACAAAGTTCTCCTCCCTCCTCTGTACTCATTCTCTAGAACAGCTCTTAGATCCAAAATTAAAAGATCTCGAAAAGGACAGAAAAAAGAGTACACACATTTTATTGTGTAAACTGCTTTAGTCAACTTGCACATATGAAACCAGCAGCTCAAGAATCAGTAGGATTGGGAGGAATTCCTAACAACTCACCTGTGGCTGTTGTTCTGCCAGTCTATTTTGATACTTCAGGACCGACTCTCTAAGTTGCTTCTCTTTCTCATTTTTTGATGGTGATACTGTGTTCCTGGTACCCAGGGGAATGGAAGGTAGACGTTCTACCTGGTGACAACTTCAGAATCAACAGCACAAGATTTAACATCAGGAGCAAATACAAACCTACCGTCTCTAAAAGATGATTTGCTTCTACAAGGCGTTACTCTTTATGTCACATATCCAAAATTCAAATACAAAAGAAAAGCACTGTATTGGTGGCTTTAGGTAACAAATGACCTTAAATCTCCAATTTACATGGAAAACAGTTTAATAAAAAATGTGGAGAGTGGCATATATTTACCAGGATGGAAAAGTGTCAATTAAATTGTGAATGCCTCATTTATTCTACTTTATCATGAAATGAAGCCATTTGTAAAAACTAGTTTAGATCACTGAGCTTTATCTCATCACTGTCATTCCCCCCACCCAAAAAAAACTTGGTAGAGAAATACATATGTCTCTTTAAAATATAGCAAATAATTATGCCCCTGAAACACATGGATTATCTGTTTGATGACCCAGGATCACTGTGAAGACCAGTGACTATGTGATGTAGGATTGAGCCATATCCTCGGGGGTCCTGAGCTGCATAGAGCCCCTTCTGTAAACTGCCCGTTGGTCCTGACTGCAGATGCTGCCCAAGTGCTCTACTGTCATAAGGGTATCTGCTCCTGGCAGCCACTCTGCTTCCCAGCCTTACAGATGTGCTGTTCTAATAACCTGTGTGTTAGTAAATATATAATAACAGAGAATGATTTGTAAATGGACAATAAACAGGGTACAAAGGAGCACATCTCTTGTTATGATTACAAAAAAAAATACTAATAACCCTCAAAGCATATGGTTTGGAAGGTTTGAGGCCATTTTTTTTCCTTACTTTTGCTTTTGTGGCTATGTACTGGGAAACTGAGTCAGCCAAACTGCTGAAAAAGTAAGGTATTATTTTGTTCAATTTGAATCGAAGCTTGATACAGACAAGAAGTTCAACTCCCGCTGGGCATAGCTTTGATCCAGGGCATGGCGGGGAGCACTTAGTAGTGCTGTAAGATGCTGAGGTTAGTAAGAAGTTTTCTATTATTGATTGGGGGTGGGGAGGAGATGAGTTCCACTGAGCTACCAAAAAGAGGAGGAAGGGACAGAAGTCCAGAGAAAATACAGGGGTGTTGGTCTAGGCAAGGGAGGAGGAGGCTGAGGATTGAGAGAGGACTTCCTCCCATCTGGAACAGTGAGGGAAAAGTGAGGCAGATCAGACCCACCATTTCTGTTTTTCAGGGCTGCAGCGTTTTATTTTTCTCACCCCATACCAACAGAGAAGAGTTAGGAACTACAATCAAATTCAGGTACTACTGTGAAAAAACACTTAATTCCACCCACATATGGTGTTTGTTATTACTGCTATTTTCAAAGAAAGGTGCTAGATAAGCAAATTCTAGGGACTACTTCTATATATACAGCAACCTGCAGTGCTGATTTGAAGACATCTGTGGGGTGGCATTTATATAGGTTTCTATTTCATTTCGGAAAAGAACCTGTAGCAACATTAAGCTTTTATTCTGAAGAGAGAAACCTCAACCATTTTATTAAAAGGCAATTTATTCTACTGTCTTCATTTAAAGATGTTTGGAGGTGAATTTAATGTGCAATATAATACATAGATATTTTTAACATCCTTTTCAAAATTCAGACATGTTTGGTTCAGCCTAGTAATGGGCATCATTTTTACTCTGCTGGTAGTCCCTGTTTTCAATGCAGATAAGTGCATAGTATAAATGTAATAGAAGCATACTGACAGCTATTTCTCAGGTATTGTGTCAAAAATGTATAGCCTCCCTCTGTGCTTAAAGAGGAAAACAAAACCAGGCTCCAATCATTTGAAAAAAGAGTGGCTCCACTTTACCCTGTCCAGGTTACTGAGTCCTACCATTTGTAAGATGTATTTTGTCCGCTAAAAAGTATTTGAATGAGGCCGGGCGCGGTGGCTCATGCCTGTAATCCCAGCACTTTGGGAGGCTGAGGCGGGTGGATCACGAGGTCAAGAGATCGAGACCATCCTGGTCAACATGGCGAAACCCCGTCTCTACAAAAAATACAAAAAAAAAAAAAAAATAGCTGGGCATGGTGGCGCGTGCCTGTAATCCCAGCTACTCGGGAGGCTGAGGCAGGAGAATTGCCTGAACCCAGGAGGCGGAGGTTGCGGTGAGCCGAGATCGCGCCATTGCACTCCAGCCTGGGTAACGAGCGAAACTCCACCTCAAAAAAAAAAAAAAAGTATCTGAATGATACCAGCCTTTCTGAAACGGAAAAGGGTGGCTTCCAACAGACAATGTGGTAACACAGGAAGAGTACAGGTTTTGCATCAGCAACTTGGCATCCAGCTTCAGCTGCAGTGAAGAATTCTGGGCAAGTCACTAATCCTTTCTTAGCCACTCTATTTTCTTCTCTGAAAAATGGGGAAAGTTCATAGGCCTTTTATAGAAATGCAATGAGATAGCAAATGTAATTGCAAAGTAAGAGAAAGTTATTATGCTTCCAGTCCATTGTTCATTCAAATGCTGTCCATTGACATCGTCCTTGCTGACAATGGGCAATTAACTACTGACAAGAAACTGTATTTTCTGTAAATACAGACAATGATACTTTTCATCCCATTACTCCGTCCCTCTACTCATAGAATATTCCCTAATAAATAACTATAGTTGTCCTCACTTTGATATACTTATTTTAAGTGATTCTGTCCAAACCCAACGGCATATATGTCAGGGGTTTTGCCGAACAACAATTTATTTCAAGGCATATTCTCAAGGTATAGATGGCTTATCCTACCACTTTGAATCAAAGGACTGAGCAAGGTCATCAGATTAATTTCTTCACCCTCCCTGGGAATGGTCATATCTGCATCAGTGCTAATAAGCTCCCATGAGGAAAGTGCCAAATCTCAATTAACTGCCCTTTTAATCAATTTTTCTTTACATGTCCCTCAAATCTCTTGCTGCCACTTTAAGCATACTTTTGTCACAAGCTTTTCAGTGAAAATAAAACACTGATGGTTAATATCATGTCATATATTTAAAGAATCAAGGACTTAAGGAAATTATAAACATAAGAAAACATTTTTGCATTTTAGGCTTCTAAGGTCTATCAGTTTTCTGTCAACATGGCTATATTTATCTAGCCACTCATCACGAGTGGCACTGTTCTTACATGTAAAAGAGACAAAATTAAATGACACCCTCTGAGTAACATTCCTGTACAATAAGGCCATTTGTTGTGTGAAAATGAACCGGAAGGAAGAACTCTTCAGTACCACGTTGTGGTCTCCCACCGGTGGGAGTGCAGAGCTGCACACCCCCGTCTTCAGATAGTTACACCCAGATCTCTTCTATTTGATGGAAAAGCACCCCAATGAAATAATCTTTGCACAGGTAGCAGGGGGTCAGAAAGAGTTTGAAGAGATACCAGATACTAAGCTAAAATCTATATTATAGATTGACATTTTCAAGGTTCATCCATATGAACTTTAGAAATCAAAAATGGACAAAGAATGTTAGAAAATAATCAAAAACTACCTGTTTTCCAAGAGGTTAGGATTATTAGCACAAATCCAAATGTCAAAAAATTCTTTCTCCTGATAATGAGTAGAGGAAGGCAAGACTCTCCATTTAAGACAAAGATCTGACATTCAAAACAAAACGACACAGAAAAGAGATCACGATAAAAAATGAGCCTATCATAGTAAGACGTCAGTTTGCACATAGCAAAAGTATGAGGTAGCTCTCAATCCGAAGACAAGCGAATCCTTCAGATACCATTATTCTTGATGGCACGTCTATTCTACCGTTCTATAAGCTACTTCAGGACCCCACCAACAAGTTATTGTGATTATTGTCTCAGTTCCCTCCCAGTTAGTTTCTGCTACTTTCAGCCAAAATAACCTTAAATAATAGATCCCAATTCACCTCTTCTAAAACCAAATTAAGAATTTCAGTGACTTGACTCTCCCATTTTCTCTGACCTATTATCTATCTGCTGACAACTTCATTTTCTGTCTCCAACTACATGGATAACATAAGAAGGAAAATCATGGTCTCAACTAGTACAAAATTAAGATAAAATAAAGCAAGAAGGAAGGAAGGAAGGAAAAAATGGAGGAAGGAAGGGTAAAAGAAAGGAAGGAATGAAGAAGGGATAAAAGGGAGGAGAGAAGGAAGAAGGGAGGGAGGGAGGAAAGGAAGGAAGGGAGGGAGAGAGGAGAGAATGTCAAGGTTTCTGAACCAGATACATACTTTCTTCTGTTCTTATTCCCCTCACCAGTTCATAGTTTCTGATTTCTTCACCCATTTTCCCTTACAGTCCTTCCTTGCCTTTAGGATGAAGGCACACTTCTCTCTCCAGGCTAAACTTGGATTTAATCCTGAATTCCCTCTAGACACACTGCTAACAGCTCATAGGTTAACACTTGTCTCTTTCACCTAAGGCAGAGGGAGTCAGTATTCACAAAGGTTAAGAACTTGAACAGCTCCACCTCTTACCACCTCTACGATCTTGGACAAATTATTTAACTTCTTATATTTTGGTATCATTATCTATAAAAAGAGATTAATATTACATTAATATGTATCTAAAGGTTACTGAGAATGAAATGACATCATCCTCTTCCTCCTCCTCCTCCTCATCATATCATAAAAGCCAACACTGCTTGACACTATCCTCCTTAGCACTTAGTAAACTTTATACTTATTAATTCACATTATTCTTAAAACTCTATAATGGAACTACAAATATAATCTCATTTCATAAAAGAAGAAACTGAGACTTAAAGAAGTTAAACAATTTGCCCAATTTCGTATAGCTCTTGGGTACTGGAGACTGGATTCTAACAGTAGCTGGTACAAATCAAAATCACAGTAATTGTTATCCATTATTATTAGCATGTGAGAAACTGTCACATACTGTCATCAGTTTCCTCAATTATACCTTCTAAATATCTGTCATGTATGATTCTCTTAACTCTTACTGCCACACCTTCATTCAGACACTTACCATTCCTCACCTGCATCCTAGATTACAATAGTCTCCTGTTTTACTTCTTCACCAAGTCTTCCTTCACTGAGCTGCCAGAACGACCTTAACTACAAGGTACCCCTGACCTCTTTGGAATAGTCCCAGGCAAAAGGTTAAAGAGGTGCTCCCTGAGAGCTGTATAAATAGCTCTATAGAGTTTTATACACTGTAGAGTGCTTTCTTGTCTGCTTGTCTGTTTTCTCTACTAAACTGTTAGCTGCAGGTATTAGAGACTGTCTTTAATTCCATACCCCTTTGTGTAGTGGGTAGAAAACATATCAATAAGTGCTGAATGTAATTATCCTCCTATTGCTTCTATTGAAAGAATTCCAGTCTCTCCTCCTTGCTTATCAAAGGAAAAGCTTATCCTGACATCCAAGAATCTCTAAATGTTTACCCAACCTCATGTGTTTGTCTTATTTATTCATTGTTCAGTCACTCAGTTGTCAGTTACTAAATTCCTACTATGTGTTAAACAGTGTTACGTATGAAAAATAGAAAGATGGCTTTCTCTTATTCTTTCACAAACATTTTAGCTGAAGTGTACACCTGATATTAATGCATATTTCTCACTCTTCATCTCTGCCTATCAAAATTCTATTTTCATTTATTTATTTATGTATTTTTAAGACAGGGTCTCACTCTAGTTTCCCAGTGTGGAGTACAATGGCATAATCACAGCTCACCATGGTCTCAACCTCCCAGGCTCAAGCAATCCTCCCATCTCAGCCTCTCAAGTAGCTGGGACCACAGATGTGCACCACCGTGCCTGACTAATTTTTGTATTTTTTGTAGAGGCGGGGTTTTGCCATGTTGCATAGACTGGTCTCGAACTCCTGGGCTCAATCAATCTACTTACCTCAGCCTCCCAAGGTGCTAGGATTACAGGCATGAGCTACCGTGCCCAACCTGAAACTATTTTAAAGACTATCACAAATGCTACTCCATCATGAAGTCTTGTCTCTACTCCCCAGTCCTTTTCTTTGAATCCTCAAATAATTCTTTGCCTCTTTTATATCATTTACCTTATTTTTCCCTGTATTACAACTATTTTCACCTTTACAACTTTCTTCTAATACTGTAACCTCCTTGGAAGCAAAACGTCTTACCATTGTCTCTCTCATCCCTCAGTTCCTAACACAATGACCTGCATGTTTAAGAAATCTTAATATTTGGTAATTAGAATGGAATTCAACACTCACCACATTGTATGATGAATGGGATACCCATGGCTTGTCTTCTTTGATACTGAATAGAATTTAAGGGTCTCTCTATGTTCATGTCATTCTGGTATCCAAATTCATTCCAAAACAATGTTAGATTTCTATTATCTTAAAAAAAAAGGCAAAGAATAATGAAAAAAATATTAAAATCAAAACAATTGGCAAAGGAAAGTTTGTATATATGATATGATCTCACTGTGTAAATATTAATACAGATACAGAAATAGAGATTAAAATATCAATATTGGCTGTCTCTGAATAGTGATATGATGACTGAAAACTATTTTCTACTTTAGTCTTTCTGCATTTTCCAAATTATATGCAGTAAATCTGCAGTATCGTTATAATAAAACTAAAAACAATAGCCTGTATTTTAAAAGTTCTATGTTTACACAATAAAACATATTGACATTTAAAGAATCGTTCTTAAGCATTCCCAGGAAAGACGGTACTGATGAAACTTCAAAGGGCACTCTTAAAATTATTGCTACAAATATTTATCTTTCTTATCTCACAGTCAGAGGTGTGGTTTGTTTTTTTTGCATTTTCATTTTATCCCTGGTTCCTATTCTCTCTAGTCTTTATTGTTTATGCCCTGTCCTATCCCCAAATTGTGTGTTTCCTCTCTGCTTGGAAACAGGACCATGCAGACTGTCCTTAAGAAGCTCTGTTCTTATCCTTTCATCCAGCAGTTATACTGGTAGGAATTATCCCTACACACATACATAAGTTGCCACAGACATTATAGCACTGCTCGAATAGTAAAAAGTTGGAGATAATGTAAAAGTGTATGAATAAAAAACTGGCAAATTCTGTTCCCCAAAAACGGAACAGTGGGCAACCTTTAAAAAGGAGGAAGTAGAGCTAAATGTAGTGTTGTATCAAGACCTCCAAGTTATAGTTTAAATTTAAATATATATTTATAAGAGGATCCCTAGCATAGTCATTTTATGTAACTTATGAAGAGCATATCCACCTAAAATTGTATTGCACATACTTTTCTTTTCCTGAATGGATGCAAAAGAAATTTTTAATAGCGGATATCTTTAGAGCAGAAAAAGAGGTGGAGAGGAAGGCAAGGGAAAATACTTTTACTGTTCACTCTTTATTTTTCTTAGCACTTTAAATACCTTTACATATGTATATAGTAATTAAAAATCTTTTAAAAAAAGAATCCATGTTTGACTGTTTTGTCCAATATGATAACCACTAATCACAGAGCCTACCTTATAACAACCTTAACATATGACTATGTAATCCATGAAAAATGCAAATAAATGACCTAACACCATACTATTCCTGTTAAAATTTTGGCTCAGGTGCTACGACTCTTAGAGACCAACAGAGAAAGAACTCAGCTTTCAAAAGGGTCCTCACAGTTGGGCTTGGCTAAGCAGACCTCACAAATTCCCAGGTCTGCCCTCTGGTCTCCGCGCAAAACCCCAGCTGCTCTCACTCCAAATTTTCTTTTGGATTTGGCTTTTGGGGCTTTTAATTCAGACTTTCAGTTTCTTCTCCTGGCCCAGTATTTGGTTTTTGTGGATAATCAAGTAACTCCATCGTAAATACTAATCTGCCATGCTGACTTGTGATTAACCCCTGTTCTGGAAATGCCTCTAAAATTTCTACTTTATCTACTGTGACTGTAAATCATGCCCTCAGGTTAAAACAACCTTGACCGTAAAACCTGCCCTTAGGTAGACTCACATAGCATTCTTACCTTTCACCAGGGGTCAACTTCAATTGTCCTGTACATTCTTTCCCTTGGTTTTTAAGTCCTGGGTCTGGGGATTAATGACACAGGGATCCACCATTCTTGTTTCACCATAGCCTAAGATATGGCTTTTGTTCTTGAGTCCCTATTAAATGCTTACTTCTAAGAAACTGGACTTGTCAGCTCTTTCTTTGGCCTCTCAGCTTCCTCAGCCTTGGAGGGTAGGTTCACATAGACTTGTTCACAGCGGAACAGTCTCAGTTCATCTCACACTCCTCTTCTCCGTACCCCAGATCCTGATGTACTTCTCCCTGGTATCTAGAAGTGTTGATGAAGTTTTGCTTCTCTGATTTTTCTTTTCTTTTTTTTTTTTTTAAGACAGTCTCACTCTTTCCAGGCTGGAGCACAGTGGCACGATACTGGCTCACTGCAATCTCCACCTCCTGGGTTCAAGCAATTCTCACACCTCAGCCTCCTGGGTAGCTGGGATTGCAAGTGTGCATCACTGTGTCCAGCTAATTTTAGTATTTTGAGTAGAGACAGGGTTTCACCATTTTGGCCAGGTTGGTCTTGAACTCCTGACCTCAAGTGATTCACCTGCCTCAGCCTCCCAAAGTGTGAGAATTACAGGTGTGAGTCACCATGCCCAGCCTACTTTTCCGATTTCTGCATTAACTCTTTAGTCTTTATTATATCAAAGCAGAGCATGCTGCAGGTTAAAAGAAGCACATCCTCTGCAAACTGACACAAGAACAGAAACGAAACACCGCATGCTCTCACTCATAGGCGGGTGAAGAACAATGAGAACACATGGACACAGAAAGGGGAGTACTAAACACTGGGGTCTACTGGGGGAAAAGGGGAGGGCCAGTGGGAGGGGGAGCTGGGGAGGGATAGCCTGGGGAGAAATGCCAAATGTGGGTGATGGGGAGAAAGGAAGCAAATCACACTGCCATGTGTGTACCTACGCAACTATCTTGCATGTTCTGCACATGTACCCCAAAACCTAAAATGCAATAAAAAATTAAAAAAAAAAAAAAAGAAACACAGATTTTTTAGTGCTGGTTCCGTCATATATTAGTTGTATAATTGTGGGCAAGCCACTAAGCTTTCTTATCTATCAAGTGAGTGGCCGCAGTAACCTGCCTCACAAATTTATCACAAAGAATAAACGTAAAGGCACACTAAAAACTACAAAGCCTGGAGGATTCTGGGAAGATGGCAGAGTAGGAAGCATCAGATGCTTTCACCACCTAGACAAAAACTATACTGGCAGAATCTAATGTAACTACTTGGGAACTCTGGAGTCTACTGAAAGCATGCAACTTCCAGGGGAAGGGATCGATAGCAAATTGCAGTTATTTCAGTCATTTCAGCTCTCAGACATTAGTAGCTACCCACCCATCCTACATTACATGTTCCTAAGATCTTTCACATGGGTTGCTGAAAATTACAGTGGGGAGAAAAAAGACCCTGTCGTCCAAATAATGGGGACCTGCTCTGATCACTGATGGCTGGTTATGATCACATAAGTGTAGATGAAGAGGTAAAGGCCATTTTTGTTATGCCTCTCCCTAGTGACTTCAAGGGGATTTAAGGGGCTGGTGTCTTTTTTTCCCTCCTTTCATTTGTCTCTTTTTCACCTTATGGAAACCAGATACTGAAGACTAATGCATCCAAAAGCTGCTACATGTATAGAGGAAACTAGGAAGTCACTGCATATGTCCAGAGAAAGGCACAGGCTCAGGAAAAAAACAAGAAAACCTCAGGCTGATCTACAACAATTTAAACAAACAAATACACACACACAAAAAAAAACAGCAAGTCTTAGAGAAGGAAGGGACTCTGATTTCCAGAAGTACAACACTGTTAGATTTAAATGTCCAGTTTTTAACAAAAGAAAAATCACAAGTCATACAAAGAAACAGGAAAATATGGCACATTCCCAAGCAAAAGAATGAATCAACAGAAATTGTGCCTGAGAAAAACCTGATGGCAGATCTACTAGACAAAGACTTTAAAATGACTGTCTCAAAGACACTCAAAGAACTAAAAGAAAAAGAAAAAAGGAAAGGCTGGGCACAGTGGCTCACACCTATAATCCCAGCACTATGGAGGCTAAGACCAGGAGTTTGAGACTAGCCTGATCAACATCGTAAAACCCTGTCTCTACTAAAAATACAAAAATTAGCCAGGTGTGGTGGCACACACCTGTAATCCCAGCTACTTGGGAGGCTGAGGCATGAGAATTACTTGAATCCAAGAGGTGGAGGTTGCACTGAATCAGGATCATGCCACTGCACTCCAGCCTGGGCAACGGAACAAGACTCTGTTTAAAAAAAAAAAAAAAAAAAAAAAAAAATCACAGGAAAATTTAAAAATATTGAGAGATTAAAACAAAATCACAACATACCAAAACGTATAGGATACAGCATAAACAGTGCAGAGGGGAAAATTTATAGCTTCTACAAATGCCTGTATTTTAAAAATAAGACCTCAAATCAAAAACCTAACTTTACAACTAGAACCAGAAAAAAAAGAACAAACTAAACTCAAAGCCAGGAGGGAAAAAAAGGACATAAATATTAGAGCAGAGATAAATGAAATAGAGAATAGAAAAATAATACAGAAAATCAACAAAATCAAAAGTCAGTTCTTCAAAAAGAGAAACAAAACTGGCAAACCTTTAGCTAGATGAACTAAGACAAAAAGAGAGAAGTTCCAAATTACCATAATAAAAAATGGCAGTGAGGACATTACTGCAAAGTCTATAGAAATAAAAAGGATTATTAGAGTACTGTGAACAATTATACATCAAAAATTGGATAACTTAGATGAAATGGACAAATTCCTAGAAACACAATACCTACCAAGACTAAACCACAAAGAAATAAAAAATCTGAATAGGTCTACAACTAGTACAGAGATTGAATAAGTAATAAAAAAAAAAATATCCCTACAAATCAAAGTCCTGGAACTGATGGCTTCCTCGGTGACTGCTACCAAACATGTAAAAAAGAAACAACATCAATCTTTCCCAAACTTTTTTTAAAAACTGAAAAGGAGAAAACATTCCTCCTTAACTCACTAAGCTGGCATTATCCTCTCTTTGGCACTACTGCAAAAAGAAAACTTCAGACCAATATTACTTTTCACAATTATGTAAAAGTCCACAACAAAATACTAGCAAAGTGAATTAAAAAGCATATTCAAAAGACTAAACTTCATGACCTAGTAGAATTTGTTCAATGTAAATATACAAAAATCAATGTAATCGATCACATTAAGAGAATAAAGGGAAAAGCTGCACGATCATCTCAATTGATCTTGAGAAGGCCCGTGATATAATTAAACATTCTTTCATGATGAAAACACTCAACAAATTAGGATAGAA